CTACAACAATGGGCTACCCATCGTGCAAAGTATGTCCTTTTTATTTTTTTATGACTTTTCGCACAAATAGTTTGCTTCAATGTATCAAGTGTAACATCTTTTCTGAACGAAAATTTTATCTAGTTGGGGCATTGACAAAAGGTATACAAAATTATACAGCTGTCAATATGGTATGAAAAAATGGTCAAAATTGAAGTGACCTGGACGTATATATTTGCAAGGTAGTTATTTTCAAGCCACTCCACCCCTAATCGGCTCCAAAGGATATCATTTGAAATTCAGAATTATATTTACTTATGTTTTGCAAAAAAGTGCTTTGAATCGGCTAAGTTTCTGGAAAACAATTATAACATAGGTACAGGCGATGGATTCAAAACTTCTATAACATAACTTTAATATTTGCACAGCAAGTTCCTGGTGTTTCGTTCTTAAACTTGTGTGCACCGCAATGCCTACGTACATTATTAATTTTTACCATTTAATATTTTTTGTTATAAAATTCAATTGGTTTTTATTTTAAATTTGTATGATAACTTAAGTTTCAAATAAAATTACAATTTTCTCCTTGTAACTTATTAATTTACGAGCCCAACGATTCATCAAAAATAATTTTGTTGGTTGGTATAAAAAATATTTACTACATTATAAATGCTTCAAAATATTTCTACATGAAATTAGTAAATGCATAGTACTTATTAATCTAGATAAATTATGGAACTATTAATTTTCCAACTTTTGTCTTTATGTATATAATAAATATATTATTGAAATGAAGGAAAATGGATTATGTATGTCAAAAATTAGGGTAACAAATAACGATTTTTCTATCAGTTCTTAATTTTTGTAGTTCCATTTTAGACGGTTTTCTTCGTATGACAGTAAAATCACGATGTAAATTAATAATAATATACATAGTTAGAAAAATTTAATATTTTGAAAATAATTCAATATTTTTTAGATAGGTATTATTGTCTCCGTTCATCCGATGCATTGTTTTTCGTCGTACAGATTGAAATTTGTTGAAACTGGAGTATATTTGTACTTGTTGTCAGTTTAAAATATTTTATTATTATAACGTGAAAAACATTTTACCAAATTTATCATCGTTTATTTCTGAAGCTATAGTAAAACTTCATTCCTGCGTAGATTGTAAATTGTACTGAAAATTAACGAATATAAGACAACAAATACGTTTGCTCGACTAAATTGCCAACTTCCCGTCATCTTCGCATTACAAAAAAAATATCAAAGACGATAAAACGGTCGTGTTTTGAACATTTTAATAAGATACTATTATATTTTCCCAGCACACTGTAGCTGCCCTCTCATAAAATTAATAATGTAATTCAGTTTCGTCATGTTTTGTTTTCGACCGAAAAATTACTTAACTCATATATTAATCCGCTGTAGAGGACATTTAAAGTGGGTACGCTTAATATATAGTTAATTTACAAATGTATTGCACGATGACTGTTTCAGCTTTCTATCATCCCAACGTACCTGTACTATGTATTTTATTTTTCAAAACGATAGATGATAAATAAATTAATGTTATCTTATCTTTACTATGTTAAGTACAACAGGTAAAAAGGGGTAGGGTACATTTTTTTTTCAAATTTACTTTTAATATCGTCAGACTGGTGTATGGAAAAATATTGAAGTGCATATTACGGCTACGTTATCATAATGATATTAATATATGTATACATATTCTGCGTAATACGAGTGCGTAGTACCTACGTACATTATGCTCGAAAGTTTAATACCTAGTTTAAAAATGTATTTATTAAATATGTACGCAGCCATATGATGGTCTTTTGTATTACGTATGCACTTGCCTACTCATTTTTAATAAATGGAGGTTCCAGAGAACTAAGGGGGCTATATCCTCTACAAAATCTTTTTCAACTCCCTCAATATTTTTTACAGCTTCCTTGAAAATGAGCGTGCAGTAAAAGGGTTTATCGTTACTCTTTTTTTTTTTTGCAAAAATGTACAGAACAAGTGCAGTTTATCTCCCTTAGGGGGATAATGATATGGGGGGCCATATCCTACGTCTATGCCTATATCGTATAAAATAATCGAAAAATGTTTAATTTTGATTACTAACTATTCTCCTCAAACCTATATAAAAATAATATACACGATCAAAGAAACAGTGGCGTATATTATACGAGTTAGTGCTGTTGTGCATTATACATTAGACAGTATGTCACGACCCCCTCCCCTCCCAAATAATATAAATACAATTATATTTATATAAATAAATAGTTGTAATGGTTTTATTTTGGAATTTATATTATATTTTATGCATAATAATAATAACGGTTTTACATTAACGTTCGTTTCCAGATCAGTTTTTACCGTAAATCCACAATAAAAGATAAACGGCACCCACAGAAGATTCGGATCTGTTTACATTTGATTTTAATATATTTCACCTACTTTGTATAGGTACTTCATTCTGTACTTACCTAATATGGTTATAATAATTGATTAAAAATATTGAGGAAAGAAACTACTTATTATTTCTACATAGTTACCTTACTTAGATTTCCTTAATGCTTACTAGAATAATTAATATTTTTTATTTGACTTATTTTAATATTATTCGATTGTAATATTAAAAAAATTCCGTTTTATCAGGCACGTCCTAACGTCCTCCCTGACATTTTAAAACCACTGTCCACAACATACCACCACGAAAATATTTTCTACATACGCCACTGCGAAAAAACGGTTATTCATATTCTTAAACGAGTGAATATTACTAGAAATTTTTTTTTCTTTTTTATAAAATTATCATTTGTAAACTGAATCGCCTACAAAAAATATGATGTATATTATTATTGTCATAGGTATCATGCATTGTTGTTGCGTATATCGGAAACACGGGGAGAAAGTGCAGTGCAGTAATAACGATTTAATAATATGTCGACAATATTTACGTGAATATAATAAAGGAAGAACGTACTATATATTATTATAATACATAATTCGAGTGAACATAAAAGGGAGAGAGATCGAAAAACGCAACGGTGTGTTATAATAACTATTATAATCGTATAGTATAATCGTATAATGATGATATTTTCCGCCCGTGATGCTGCAGTGGAATGCCGGAGATTATAATATTATTATTTTCGATCTCGAACGATGTGTTATGAGAGTTTTACAGGAACGATATTGCTACATTGCGTTATGTAATATATTTATACTCAGTGGTGTAGTCGAGCGTATACACACTTCTTGGTTTTTTGATAATGTGTATACTTAAAACTTTTTTACTTAAAACGCGGGTATACACAGAAACGTGTATATTTACCTAATTATTATTCGCGTATACGCCTTGTTTATTATTAATTATTATCAAAAAATCGTACATAGATACATGTTATCACAACGATTCAACGATGTATGAAAACAGACAATGTTAACCTTTTTCTTTTTTTCTTTTTTTCCAAACTGTTGCTGATGATTAAGGCTTGAAACTTAATGCTCTTAAAAAGTACTAAATATGCATGAATTTATGCGTTTACAAAAGCACGAATATGCTTTAAAAATATGCACATTTTTTTTTTTACACGAAATGTTTATACACATGTTCACTAGGAATAATTCTTTGAGGTACAAAAAAATTGTATTGATCAAAAAGTTACTTGAAAAAAAAAATAATAAGACTATTTGAATTTAGTGTCAAAAATATATATTGCTGTTAAAATACATTTATTATACATTTATTACTCATGTATGCACCCATCAAAAGGGTCGACCATCTGAAATTTATTCTTAAATGTTTAACCTCCCGAAAATGGCATTAAAATCCAAGGTCATTTAGCCTAAATATTTAGTGTTACCAGGAAACGTACCTAATTACACTGAATAAAAGCAGTTATTATGTAATTTGCTTGTAGTTATGTGTTTGTGCTAAAATTCGTTTGATATATTTGTGATAGGGGAGTGAAATGAGATGTCGTGATTTTTTTTGTTATACAAATTTGCTGCTTTGTAATCTTATGAGATTATAAGATTCTTATGGGATATTGATAGATTTTAAGATGTTGATATTTACAAACCGGGAAGGTCGGTTATTTTTATTACTAACCATTTTCGCTAGCTTCGTTCCTATAACTTTTTCCAGTATTCAAAACATAAGAAATTCAATTTATAGGCTGATAGAGGAATCCATCTAAGCCTTTATATAAGTAAATGTAGATTTGTTTTATATTTGTTAGTAGCGTGTTTTTTAGTCAATAACTGAATGTAAAGTGTGACCCATGCAATTAGTTTTTTGACTATTCTGTATATATGTAATATACAAAATTTTAGACTGAAAGCTTAAATGTGAACACCCAGATAATTTATCTAGTTTGGCCATTCTATTATGTGATACCTTTGATTTTTAGTTTTGGAGTGTTAGACGTCGATTTACTGAAAAAGCCATTATAAAATGTAGGCGATTAATTCAGTTAACGTTCCTTTTAAAAAAGAGTCCGTTACGTTCCTTATTCTCTTAGATTAAAAGGAATTCGTACCAATAAGTCAAAAGAAATTCGTTCAATTCCTCGTTCCTACCAAAAAAGGAAATCCGTTATTTGCCTCGAGGGGCATGTTGCCTTACGGACTTTGAGGTTGCAGTATTTGGCGCGAAATTCATACTAAGAAAACAATAAATTATTAAAAGGATTTATGACATTAAATGTTCCGATACTTGAGAAAAAGGAAACGGTGCCGGTTCCTTTTCCTTTAAAAAATAACGAAATTCGTAAATTCCCACGTTCCTCAATAAAATTATTTATTTTAAGAATCGTTCCTTTTGGAATGCTTCCTTATTAACACAAGTAATTATATACTTAGGTACCTGATTTCCTTCACGATTAAAACGAAAATTAAGTAGGTATACGAATAGTATATGTAGGTATAGGAATTACGCGTATTATTAATTGTAGAACATAATATATATATAAATTATTAGCAATACAAAAAAAACAAATTACATATTCGAACAATATATTATTAATATTATTTAATATCGACGATAAAACATTGAATATTATAATATTATAAAATTGTTTTCGAAGCGAAATTATTATATTATATACAGGTTTTATTATAATAAATATAATTATATATGTAAAAAAAAAATTCATTTTTTTCATGAAAAATAATTTATTTCGTTTACAGTAATAATAATAATAATAATAATATTATACACAAATATTATAACACGCGCGCACGCGCACACACAAAAACAAATAGGTACATTACACAAATATTATGTACACTGAGTGACCCGCCAGAGATACACTAAATTAAAGTGGTGGTGTAATTATAATAATTATACGGAGTAAACATATACGACAATATTATACGTACTCTTACTAATCTAAAAAAAAAAAAAATAGTAAGCCGTTTCGTGGAACTTACTCTGTATACATCGCATATATGAATAAATAGTCAAAAAACAAAAAATTAAAAAAAATAGTTTTTCACTAAATCTAATTTAAAACAAACGAAAAATAGTACAATCTACATAATATTTAAAATTAAATCACTCTGGGCTTAGTAAAATACTTGGTAACTCAAAGAATCGAGAAATTCTAATGATCGTGTACGTGTCCATGGGACGAATGATCGTTATCCGAACTAGTATGCTGATTGTTGTTAACTGGTTCAGCCCCTCCGTGACTGTGGTGATGAGCTGGAAAAAAATATAAAAAATGTATTTATAAGAAATATTTTGTAAAACCATACTAATACAACAGTGTATACGCGGCCTCAAATTAGATATAAAGTACGAGTATCACCACGTGTAATAAGAAACTATAGGGGGAGGTTATAATATTATGCGCACATTAATTATGATTTTTTTTTTTCTAATCTATATAAATATATAGACTAGAGAAAAAACCTACTAACTATACTAATTAAAATCACAATCTCGATTCACTCCTACAGTCGTAATTTATTTATGAAAGTCATGACGTTTTAAGTATTATTTTTATATTTTTACCAGCAATCAATAATTATGTTCTTACGGGCAGGGTGAGGAATTAAAAAAAATTACGTAAAAATAATCATAATATACAATAATATAATAAGTGCACTGTTATTACAATATCATAATGCACGAAAAATAATTTTCCATTGTAATAATATTACTAATTAACATTTTTGTATGGGACAGAACTAATTATAATACAATAGCTAAACCATACGAAACGATTGAAAATTTGAACAAAGAATATTATTAAAACAACTATACAATATATTTCAATATATTGTTATTAGGTATACTTTTCAATATAGGCACCTAATATATTATTATACTCGTTTACTAATAGAATTACAATTATATACACAATTTGTTTGTTTATTATGTTAATTAATTATGTCATAGTGTCTAATAAAATCTGATACTTCATACTGGTACGAAAAATACATGTGCATAATATTCATAAAAAACCATTAATGCGGGTGTTTTGCATGTTGTCGATACGCTCTTCGTAAAGGATATATTGTTAGTGCATAGGCCAAAGTTGTAAGTGATGGACGGATAGTTAAAAAGGTAAAGTGTGCTAAGGTAATTTCAACGATGCACCGTTGCAGACGAGAAACGATGCTAAACAGAGTTCGGTTTAATGTTTTTTGAGAAATTCAATAACTAAAAAATAAATTATAATTATCTGTGTTTCCAACGAATGTTATCATAAAGTTGAACTTAAAACGGTTATAAAAATAAATAACGTCATTTGACGCTTGACTCTTATTTGTTTTATTTTTTTTTTACCACTAAGGCCACTATAAGTAATACTTATGATCAATCTAGTGTGAAATTGTCAAGCAATTTCAGGGGAAACAATTTCACGCGCATAAAACCAAATAAAAACTAAAATAACTCGAAAAGTTTAAACCTTTAAAATAATTTTAAAAATACCAAAATGTTTTGAAAATTCTGCCACATTTAGAAAGTGCAAATAAAATTATTCAGTGAATGTTTCAGAACTCAACGAAAATTGTTTACAGACAATTAACAGATATTTCTGTTGGTTAATATTCTCGTTTTCCGGCGTTCTTAACCGATTTTTACCGAAAAATTATCAATAGAACTACAAAAAAAATTAAAAATAACCTTGACGGTGCACCATCTAGAAGACCAAATTTCCTACCAAAAACCATCTCTGATGATGAGCTATATTTTTGGTCAAAATGTTGTTTACAGAAAACATTTTAAAAAGGGCAAAAACCGTTTCGTAGTCAACATTCTATAATAATATGCCCGTATTCGTATGAACGTCTGTCACTATAACGAAATATATTCATATAATATTTTAATACATTCGAATTATCGAAATATAAAACGCAGCAAATAAAAAATGTATCTGTCATTGTTTTTTGTTTATATTTTTAACAATAAAAAATATTATACAATAATAATAGTCAAACAATTAAATTAGTCACGGATCAATGAGTGGATATTTTTTATTATGTTTTATCGACGATTGTATTACCGAGTAGAAATAATACTAACTCATCAATTTTCAACCTATAATCTTAATTAATGTACACGTCTAATTAACGTTTCGGAATGGAAACGGAGCAAATAATTTTTCCATTGAAACAATAATATTTAAACCGTAACTCATAATTATACGAATACTATTATAATAAAATTCCTGTTACGTTTTCTCGATGAGAATAAATTCGAATTGTCTGATTCTTGTGTTTTTATTTTTTTTATGACTTAGTGAGTCCCAGACGGCTAAATAGATAATATAAAAATTTGATTTTCACCAAAAATGTAAAATATGGACTATGACAAATTTCATAATTTTAAATGAAAAATATTGAAAGCGTGACCGCAAGGGTTAATATTAATTATTCTTAAATGTATATTTCAAAACATGGATACTAATGAAATACTATTGAAATCGTGGACGCGTATTATACTTAGAACATTCAACTCTTCGATAATATTGTTCTTTGGGTGATCTATAGATATGTATTATAATATGTCTAAAGATTTTAAATTAGTTCTTTTCTAATATTTTAGATAATAGAATGTTTACGAAAAATTTGCTATACTTCAATTTTTTTTTTTTTATTATTCATTCTGTATAATACGTAATTCGCAGTTTTGTTGTTTCGAAGTATACGGACTAAGTGTATCGAATAAACGCAAGCGTGATAATTCATATACCTAGGTACGGTAGTTTTTTTAGCCCCGTTGTTCGAAGTTATTAACAATTGGCACAGTATAAGTAAGTAGGTTTTTTCATGACAAAGAGCGAAACGAGATAAACTTTACGTTCAAAACAAAATAGTTTGTTCGGTTATTGATAATAAATTATACTAATAACATGAGATACACGTGTACGGTTCGTTAATTTTGTTTAATTTACCTAATGTTATTGATGGTCGATGTATTGCAATTTGAAAAATCGTGATTTATGTTTTATCCAAAAACTCAATTAAATTTGTTTTTAATAATATATAACTACTGCAAAGATATCGGAGAAGATTCGGTTCACAATTTAAAAGTTAGAGCTAACAATACTATAAACGCGAATAAATAAATGAAAATATTTAATTAACTTGTCAGATTAAAAGGTTTAGCTAGTTTTTTTTATTTTTTATTATTCAATTATTAGGTATATTAAATTACCGACGGGCCTTTTTTGGTTTGACCCAGTGTTTCTCAACATTTTTAAAGTAACCGCCCCAAGGAGAAATCAACCTCTCCCCCTGTATTTGAAATCCCGTAATTAAATGTATGAAAAAGAACTGTGAAATTTAAAAAGAAATCGAAATAACGAAAGAAAAAGTAAAATTAATAAACTGCAAAAGTATACTTTATTGAAAAAATAATAATAATTGAATAAATAACCAAAAGATAACTTAATTTCGTTTTACTATTGAAGTATAATATTATTTCTACGCGTTTTAAATCTTAATCGAAAACGCGCTCGCCGCCTCACCCAATCAAAGCAAGTTTAACGGTCCACAGTATCCGTCCAACTAACCCCTGGGACGTTATTACCCCTGGGTTAAATTACTGAAACCGACGCACAGTCAACATACTACTAACAATACCTATGATATAGTTTGAGCTTGTGTGATGCCACTGCTGCACGCTAAACAACGTTTACGTTGTTGTAAAACTATAAAAGTATACTGTGAATTACAGTGCTATTTTTTATTATTATTATTATTATTACTTCTTTTCTTTTTTTTACCGCCTCTGGGAAGCTGTTTTGTCGAATGGCAACATATTATATTATTTCGTTGACACACAGCGGCTACGATAAAAAAAAAAAGTCGTACCCGGACAGTATCGGCAAAACCCATTGTGCTCGGCACTTGTCGTCGTCAAAACCATAAATATTTTTTTTTGCCGTACACATATTACTTTCTTTATAAATCTATATTATGATTATTGTCGCGCGATCCTTTCAAATTGCTATAATAATCACGGCAATATATGACATTTATAATTTGACGCTCCCTTTTACCCGTTCCCCGCCATCCGTACTTCACAGCTCGGCGTAATATTATTAAATTTTCGTTTAAAACACACACTTTGTCTATAACAAACAGAGTTTTATCGCGGAAATCAACAATTAATAATAGCTTATTGATTTATAAGATGGAAGCGACGGCGACATCTTATACATAAATAAGTAACTATTAAATAATAACAGCGTTGTACAAAATATTATCTATATATTTTCAGATCTATCTGTATAATATTATTACCGGCTAATAATTTTAAGCATTTTGATTGGTTAATAATAAGAGAAATACTAAAAAAAATCGGTCATACTCCCGGGTCATGTAACCCGAAAATTGACAACAATAAAACCTGTGTATCAGTTGATTAAATTTTAGAACAAATGTTTCAAATAAAATAAATCTGGTGAAAAAACGCATATTTTAAGTTACGAAGACTATTAACTATATCATATGTAGTGGTGGATCCAGGGGGAGGGCACAGGAGCACGTGCCTCCCCTGTCAATGGACAACACGTTTTATTTATATATTTTGTATTAATTTAATATATAATTTATAGTTAATTTACTGAAAATATAAATAATGCCACTGAATTCATATGCTTAATTTTTGAAAGCATTTTTACTAACTGAATAAATGTTCTTATTTATAAAATACCTACAGAATATAATAAATGATTAAATATTATAGTTTTAAACTGTTGCGCTCATAGATATCGGTGTACAGTATTATAATCAGAACGTTAAACCATACCGGGTGTTCCATTTATGTGGATTCATTTATAATCTCGCAAAGTATTAGATTTATAAAAATATTATTTTGTTGAAAATTTAAGAAACAAGTCGCTCTAAAATGTTACGTTGCCATTATTTCTTGTCATTTTTATTTTTGGGGGTGAAACGTCTATATCAACTTTTTATTTTTAAATGACAACGTACCAATATTAAAACTTCCATTAATACATTGAGTATTAGCCAAAAAAAATTATTTTGAAAAAAAATTAATACTTGCCGAGATAATGAGTGGTGTACCTAGTTTAATGAATCACCCGGTATAAGTAAAATATTAATAAAATAATTCACGTGGGATACTAAGATTAGTTTAGACAATATTGTCGAAACAGATTGAAAATTGTGACGTAGCTAATTACATAAGTTTTCGTGTAAAACGAGTTGCGCGATTACCGTACAACATTTAACTCGTACATGCTCGTGTACATGATTTTTAAATCAAAGCAAATATTTACACTTACGCTTATTTACAACTTATATTTACACATACGTGTGTCGCACAAAACTGCACACAATTAATTTCGCGTGCATTTTCGCACATACTTATGAAGTAATTATTTTCGAGAAATATTTAAACGATTTTTCGAAAGTGATTATTTCCACTATAAAACGATTTTAACTGCAGAATCATACAATAATATTATAGCAGTACAATAATTACACAAATTTTTATCATTATTAGAAATTTATGCAATTATTATACATCATCGTTTAGGACGTCGTCACGTTAATGAGTGTAAAGATGTCTAATGTACCTACCTAATACCACTATGTTATTAGTGAAACTTAATATTATTGTTCTAATCACAAACATTTAATTATTGTTATTGTGGTTATCGTTTTTGATATATAAAAGAATAATATGATGTTTTATGTCCTCATATATATAATATTATTATCAAGCACTTTATTTATACATACATAGCACATTTTAGATTCTGAGCGAAGCGAGAAACATATTGGTTTTACTAAGTGATATATGGTTTTTTTGTTTTTTTTATTTGTGTCTATGAAAAGCTTTTAAAAAAATTATAGACATTTTCTGGTAGCATTTATGGTCTAGTCGGTGTATTGAGTAGGTCATTTTTGTATTTTTCACATTGTATTCTTAATAAATTGGAGAAACTGATAATTTTTCGTAAACATTTTGTCGATCTCTCGGTTGCTTTGACAACAAGTGTAAAATTGTAATACTCAGAATAGTTTTTCATTAGCTATAGTTCATCGATGCGTTCGGATACAGATCGAATTAGGTACTATACATTTAATATCCTGTAAAATTGTGGCACACCTATCAGCAGTATTTTTCCTTTTAAATTTGTCAATACTATAAACAATATATATATATATATATATATATATATATATATATATATGATTATAATAGTAACATTATTTTATTTAAAAGACAATATTTTTATTAGTTGGTTAAAAAAAAAAAACAATCGGACCCCCCCCCCGATCATGAACTCCGTGAAGGCTTCAAACATTATATGTGTTGCACCATTGTTTGATCACTGTTGTAGGTGGAACGTTTAAAAGGCATACATTTTTTATTTTTCCAGGGAAAAAACTAATAACAGAATCTAAACAAACTCCATCAACAAGATATTACTAACCGTTTCGCGTCTCTGTAGTTCGGTTTGACCTGCGGTTTTGTACGTTCTTATTCATTTGTTTATTTCGACGCGCGAACACTAAATGTACCGTCCGTTAATATGAAACGTATGTAATAATATGATAACGGCGTTTAATGCAATGTTTCATAACGTAAAAATAATAAGTATATTATTGACAAGGTATTAATTATATTCGGTAGTAGCTGCGCATTATTCTCGTTATACTTATATTAGTTATCTAAATTGTATCAGCGAATCAGCATCAGTAAATTGCAGTAGCGAATTAACTGTACATGGTAGCTGTACACTGTAGCTGTGCACGAATTAGTCCGATCTTTGCCAAACGTATTATTAACAATGACATAATTAATAATAATTATTACCTTTGTTTTACGGTTTTTCGTTTAATTGATCCGATTTAGACGAATATAAACAAACACATACAGAGCGGTTCGTTTAGTGCATTCACCTACAATTACGTCGTCGTCACTCGTCGGTAAGAACTAATAAATAATGGGTTTTTTTTTTTTTTTTTTTTTTTTTTAAACTTTACAAATGTAAACTAATCACCATGTCATGAACATAACGCACGAGTAAATAATTAGTATTACATAGATTTTGATGATTTCGAAATAATACGCCATGATATTATATTATATAGTTTCAACTTAAATTTAGGTACAGGTAGGTAGGTTGGTATACACGGTCGGCGATCTACTATGATGATCGACAACCGTCACTGCGATGTGGGACACAGGTTAAGTGACGCCAGATTAATTAGGCATTCAACGCTTATCAAATATACCATATTATACGTTTGCTATTATTATTTATCATTTTTTATTTTTTCTCGGCGCGAGCTATTAATTATGTTAAACAGTGAGTTATTAATTTTAATGAATTATTGAATTGCTGAGTTTTAAAGTCCATAGTTATCTTGAAAATTTACTCCGCATAAACAAAAATATAAATATTAACAATATTGTCAGTATATAAGATAATTAACAAAAAAAAAAAATTGCTCAGTTATTAAATGTATACCATAATGCACTATCCTCAATCCCAAATTTGTTTCTGGCTACGCCACTGGAAATATGTTAACTAAATATTCACCATTGACCTATATTCTATATTTTATTGATACGTAAAAGTACTATTATTTTTATGAACGCAGGTAATAAAATTCTTATTTTTTAGAATAATAATAAAAATCGATGTTCTACTCCTAAATATGCAGGACTACTGTTAAGATACAGGCCATGTTTTTATTTATATGCACCTTTAAAATATTAAAACCTGACGAAGATATTTTATTGCATACTATAGCTAAAGCAGGTACCCTGCACGTACATTTTTGTACCGTGAGTAATTAGGAAATGAAAAATAAAAATGCATTAACATCAATCAAACGCAACATTGTTCTCCTCTTCGTTTTATATCATAGTTGCGTAACTCGGAATACGGTTTAGTATTTTGTTGTAGGTCGGTACAATCAAATCTTTAAGATAATAAACTGCGCACGAGGTATTGCAACACGCACGAAATGCTGCAGAAAATTGGGTCCTTCTAAGAGTGGTATACCCAGGATTTATCAGTGAAGGCCAACATGAGGAGGAGGTCTAAACATAGTGAACGATAATAATACATTATAATTTATAATAATATAAGCAAAATATGTACAAATCTATTTTGAAGCCTTTTCTCGAGGTTAATTTGCAAAGTACTACTGCGTGGTACCTATAAATACAATTGTTTATGTACTTAGTTGAGTTATATAGTAATGCAAATGAGCAAAAATTATTATTTTATTAGTAATATAAGTTTTCAATGCCGAATTTTTTTAACCATCCAAAGTTCGTATTATGTTTGGTATTTTGCCATTAGGGGTGAGCTAGTCTCTTAACTTCCTCTCCTCCCCTACCTTAGATACACTACATCCTTCTCATTTCTTTTCCGTTCTGCATGAGACCTTTAAAAAATTATAATTTCGAATATATCACGACATTGATGATATTATATGTATTTTTTTTTTTTTTTTAAGAACCCATTATAATAGAAATGAAAATAACAGTCGAGCGACTTTAATAGTGTTATATTTTTGCGGCGATCTTCCAATTACATGTTCGTAATAGATACCGGTATACCACGAAAACCGTTTACCTAGTGGCCAGTGGCGTACATAATTTTTTACCACCCCTAGATTATTTTGTTTAGCGTTTCTTTTATTCCCGAACAGTTAAGGTCCTTCCTCCCCCCAAAAAAGCCTATAGATACCATTTTAAATGCAGTTTTACATTGTTTAATATTATTTCTCATCATCATCGTGTGGCTTCAAAAAGTCACAACTTTCCAAGAGTTATTTTAGCCGCCACTTTTGTGGTTTGTTTTCCTTACATTCTGTCATTTCCGATCTCTCTAGAGCTTGTTTTAATCCGCTCGTCTACCGTTTTTTCGACCTCTCTCTGTTTTTTCTCGATTTTCCATTGTATTGTTGGTCTAACCTTTCTCGTTTTCTCCGTGTACCAGCCACTAAATATTATTTTTATCAAATAACTAAGAATAAGAATAAAACCAAAAGTAATTTAATGCAAATGTACCTGCCCATCTAAAAACGGCGCCATAGGCTACACCATACACTTAGGCCCGGCCCGGTGTTAAATATTCGCCACTGCGTTAACCGAATGACGACAGATTACGGCACAGACGAATCGCGATAATTTTTTATGAGTTATTTTCGAAAATAAACAATCCTATTTCGGACGGTCCATTGGACATTGCATGCATCGATGACGGAGCTGTTATTCGTTTACACTTGCGGGTATTGCGACAGTAAAATATTATTTTATTGTGGTCAGCGAACGGAAAGCAAAAATACGTTTCGAACACGTGCCTAACGAACTATAATAATATAATGTTTGTATACGTACCTATACCCCGGTGTAATGTACCGTGCATTTTATGCCAGTACAATATTAATAAATAGTTTACCTGTATGTAATATTATATACTCCTACCAACCGCGGAATGGTCTGGTGACCGGAAGGTCGGTTGAAAAGGAACGTGTGCGGTGTAAACGTGTAAATATTATTATCACGGTCATCATTAACAGGCTAGTAAAGTAATTGAGTAAAAAATTTAAATACAGTTCATATTCGAATGAATTTTTTAATAGGTATTCGAACACCTATTTTAAATACGTACATTTACGAAAATTATACTCGATTTTTTATTTTAAATGCTATTTTTTTTTCAAAAGTACCTATTTAAGTATCAAGTAGGTATCAAGTGATCGAATACATAGTTTGAACAATATACTTTTACAATTTTTAAAATACAGTTTTAAACTGAAGCACTACATCGAATTATACATCACGTTGAAAGTAAATAAATTGGATTCAACATTTTAACTTGCTCAGATAAAATTTAACAGATACCATTACACAATATCTGTGTTCGTAAGCACTAAGATATTTTTTTTTCAGCGAACTATACACATACGTAAACTACAAAGGTTAGATGTAATCAAATTTCGGGAGAGGGAGAGAGGTTTTAAAATCTCTATTTCCCGTTCCATTTGTGTACAGTTCTTGATTGTCTTCAACGGAAAAGATAATAACTGATAAACAAATTTTAAGTTATTGTATCTTTTGAACGGTATACATTTGGAATAATATTTATTCGTTCGAACAAACAATACAACACTTATTTATGTACAATATTGCGTAATAATTAATATAATACATTTCTAATAATATATTATGAATGAGTGAATACACTTTGCAAAAAGAAAAAAAAATAGACCGGCAATAATAGAGATATACGTAATGCAATTATTGTGTTTGAAAATGCGTTACTGCAGATATTATTTTGACCGCAGTATTTATGTAAAGTATACAAAATACTACCTATATAACAATAATTTGATTGTGTTGGATAACTTCTTCGATAACGATTGGACAACATATTTTGAAAACCAACTGCTACGAATATACGTCTAAACCGATGCTGTTAGAAACATAGGACGTGTGCGTTATAAATATTATTTATATTGTTATTCGTTTTTTTTTTTTAGATTCGAAGCGTATTTATTGGTTTTATTACGAGGTGTGGCTATTAAACAACGAGACTGCTCACCTAGAGGGCGCCTTAGATGGGTAGTGAAAACAACGAGTAATGCGTTGGGTATCTAGATATCTTATCTATGCACGTACCAAAACACGTTTTCGTCACTATTATAGTATTTGTGCAGTAGTGGTTTGAAACGAACGTGTTTTTTTCTCCGGCCGAAAACCATGTGTGTCGAAAAACATGAGCAACGGATAAACGTAAAATTTTCTCGTTAAACTAAAAAAAAACTCCAACTGAGTGCTATAAGTTGTTAAAAGAGACCTATAGTGAGGATTTCCTATCTCGGGCGCGTTTTTGAGTGGCATAAATTATTTTCTGAAGGTCGAGAGTGCACCGGAATCCAATTCGGTCGTAATCCAAATTCAAAACCATGCTGATCGTTTTCTTCGATATCAACGGCATTGTGATGACTGAATGGGTTCCAGAGGGTCAAACTGTGAACCAACATTACTATTTGACAGTTTTGGCAACATTGCACGAATGAGTTCGTAAGAAACGGTCGATATTGGAATATGGATATGGGCACCTGCCCATAACGCGCTGTCTGTGAAGCGTTATTTGACCGCTTAAGGCACTCCAGTACTCGAACACGCGTCTTACTCACCCGACTTGGCACCCTGCGACTTTTACTTGTTTTCGAAGATAAAGTCTGCCTTAAAAGGAATCCGGTTTGAGTCGATGGAAGAGGTGAAACAAAAATCGGCGGAACTCCTGAATGGTCTTACGAAAACATACTTCCAGCACTGCCTCGAGCAATGGAAGAAACGAATGAAACGGTGTGTGGCGAGGGGAGGGGAGTATGTTAAAGGGGAGCATTTGAATGTAGAATAACTTTTATAATAAAACACTTTTTCGTAGCCAGTCTCGTTATTTAATAGCCACACCTCATATGATGTGTGTTTTTTATTTTTTTATTTTTCTGTTTGTGTTCAACTTCTCGTAAAGTTAACTTGCTTCGATGTATCGAGTAAAGAACTTTTACCGAAAAGAAATATTATCTAGTTGATACATTAAACGGGTAATTTTTTGATTTTCCAAAGAGGTTTTTAAAAAGAAATTGGAAAAACACGGGAACAAGATTGTAGGTAAAATGGCAAATATTTACGGGCGATGCGGCGCAGAGCGATGTTAACAATTTCATTTTTTTTAATTTTTGCAAATTATGTTTTCAACTAGCAATATTGCTTTAATCAAAAAATGTGTCTAGACCTTTTTGGATCTATAGAGGCTCATGAAAAAAATCGTTTTTGATTTTCCAAGTAATTTTCGTAATAATTGCAAAAACCGAAACAAAAAATATCGAAAAATGAAAACTATCAAATTTACGACGTACAATTTCATTATTTTTAAATTTTTACGCACGATGTTTTCTACTAGAAATATTGCTCAATAGAAAACAACAAGAGACCTTTTTTGTTGTGTTTTTAATCTTGTTGGTGAGTAAAAAAAAATGATTTTGAATTTTCCATGTCCTTTTTTCTAATAATTGAGCAAAACCAAAAAAAAAAAACGTAGAAAGAACGGGAAAATAATGGCCTTATTATTTTTAATTTTATTTTTTTGTTGTGATTCAATTAAAATTATTTCTAGAGACTTGATATTTTGACAGAAAACATATATTTCCTTTTTCTAGGCGTAGTAAAATTTTTAAAATTTTTAAGTTTAAGAGATTTGTACGTGGTTTTTATTTAATATCTGTGAATAAAATAATTTGACCGAACAAAAAGGCTTGTAAATTTAACTAGAAGTTCGGTATAAGTTTTACTTAGTGGTCAAAAAGTGGTGGTATGTGTTGTATTTTAGATTCTGAGTGCAGCGAGAAATGTATTGGTTTTACAATGGTATTTATTTTATTTTTGTTTTATGTGAACACTTTTCTACCAGTAAGCATACTCCGATTATTAAGTATTATTAAGTAGCACTTTCCTAAAAGAAAATGTTTTTTGGGTGGTACTTTAGAGAGGTCGTTTTTGAAATTCTCATTCATATTCGAAATAAAGAGGAAATCCTCAGTCTTTAGGTTAAAAAAGATTAAAAATAAGGTTGTCATTGGCAATCGTTTTTATTTATTTTTTGTTATTATTAGGTTTTTATTATTTTAATCATTTTTAAACAGTCATATGGAAACATAAAGTTGTAATAATTTTACCATAATAACATATATACCATATATTGTATTGTTGACAAAGCAACACTATCCGCTTGGGCGGTTTAGAAATATGAAAATATTATACCGATAGATTATTATGCGATTTTGAATTTTACAATAGTTTGCTGTCTGTAATCAATAGGTACCCAATATTTGAAATTATGACTTAAAAAAAAAAAAAAAAGATAAATTACTGTAGAAACTTATAAACACATTTTATGATGTAATATTATAAAAAGTATAAAAAAATAATATACGTAGATAACATTTAGATAGGTATAAATTATACTTTGAAATTTCATTAAACAACACTCCTACAGTATAATACGTGCTATACGATTCATTTTATGGCGACAATTTTTAATATTATTTTTTTTAAATACTTTAATTAGGTACAAATTATTTCAATTAAATTAAACCCTAACACCTAACAAGTAAAAAGTTACTAAGATATGAACACCGCGTATATTATACTGTTAAGGAAAACAATTATGTATTATTTAATAATCATAATTAATGATTAACTACCAATTTTTATGAAGATTTATATCTTATACCAGTCACATATTTAAAAATTTAAGCTCTGACTTACTGATGACTTACTCCGAGCACAAGTAGACAAGATTTGAGTAAGCCAAATTAACTAGCCAATTACCAACCTGTTCAATATATGCATGTTTAAACTAACAAATAGTTCTCTTCATCACCAACAACAAAAGCGCTGCTTCAGAGCCTACCTCAACAGATCTTAAAAAAAAAGACGTGTGTGGGACAATTTTTTTTTTTTTTTTTTTTATCAGTGCTTCCAATACGAGTATACATATACATTAATGACAAGTAATGAATAAATCTTCAAAATATCAATAGCGGCAATAAGTAGAAAGTAATATAATATATAATTTATACTGCAGTTGCCTAGTATACTGAATCGATTTTAATACAGGTACTTAATATGAAATATCCAACGAATACAATAGTTTACGAACCGTGCGTAAATAATATTCCCGAATAGGATTGTGTCACAGATTCCAATAAACTGCATTGGTATACTGATAACGAACTCGCAATATTATATTGAGAACTCTAAACGCAAACATTCGCGCTGCATAATATGTTTATAATATATTGTTTGAGTTCAATTCATGTTACAACTGAAATATATTAATACAACCGCACCGTTGAAATATAATTAAATGCACGCGTAACTTGATACAAGTAGGTATCATACTAATATTTGTAATGTGTAGACATTTAGAGTATAATACTTTTATTTTTAATTTATGAATTCTACACATGTGGTGTATACAGAAAATATATATATATATATATATGTATTTTTATCTAACCACGTACGTACGTTGAATTTTTTATACGACTGCATGGTCAATAACCCTATACAATATTGTTAAGTAAATACAAATATACGTATACATTATTATGTGCGTTTGGGAAAATAACGTGGTTTTTTTCTTTTTTTTTTTTTAATACAATAGGTACATCAAATTAATTTAAATCTAAATCGAAAAATTAAGACGTTTAAAATAGTTCGTAACAATAATCTGAATTTCGAAAATATATACATATGCCCAAGTACCTATTATATTCTTTATGAATTGTTCACATAATATACGATTTCAAGAAACCCGTTCCCGACCTTTTGTGTTTAGTTTTATGTATTTGTAACGAACACCTAATAATTAAATAAGCATTAAAAAATCTAATTGTTATTTTATTTTATAATTATATGATGCTGCAGTTTACTGTAAAAATAACAAATCGATACGCCTGCAGTGATTTTTATAACAATATTATAATACGTATAAGATAAAAACGAGATGGGAAACAATTATTTATTTTTATGAATTGGGTTAAATTACAAATAATAATTATAAATTACGTACCCACTGTGTTAATCACTATTCATTTCCAAAAGCTTCGACAATATTTTAACACACTCAATCGAATTCCTTTAAGAAATTAAAGTAATTTTTTAATAACATTTTTTTTGTCGGATAATAAAGACCGATTGTCCTCAACGGTAAAAATACATTTTTTTTTTTTTATATTTTTTAAAATATAAAAATAAAATAATTATAACTATAAATTCCGCCGCGGTTATTAACTACACCTATACCTAGGTATTCAAAATCAACGAATCGAGAATATAAAAGACCGCGTGAACCGTACAGACGGAAAATATAACAAAACACAAAATTTATATATATATTGTCATAGTTCGGTACGTACAATAATGTTACACAAAAATGATTTTTCAATCACATTTACCAGTCGAATAACATGGTTTACTTATAAGGAAAAATAAACGGTTATCGATTTGTCAAAATAAAGATAATATGTCTAATGAATTCGCGAACATTATGAACGATAACACAATCAATGTGAAAATCGCTATTAAGACTAATAATAGTTTAATCGAACGCATAAACAATAAAACTAAAAATTTCACAAAAAGTCCCTCTTCTTTTGAAAATGCTGGTATATATAAATTTGAATGCAATTGTAATAAATTTTATACAGGTAAGACAAATAGAAATTTTAAAATAAGATATAAAGAACACATTTCTGAAATAAAATTTAAAAAGACTGTCCCTAATTCGAATTTCGCTAAACATGTTTTAGAAAATAACCATAATATAAGTTTTGATAATAATACAGGCTTAGAAATATTAAATTTTAAAGTAAAAAGTATTAAAAGTATTAAAGTATTAAAAAAATAATATCTAATAATCATTATAGATAATAAACAATAACCAAATTATGTATATTTATTAACATATCTATATCTAATAATAATTAATTTTAAATAATCTCCCCAATTAAAATTAATTATTTGTATACTCTATGTAAAACGACTAATTTGTATAATTTTTTTTTTCTTTGTATTCCTTCATTAAATTTTTTATATTCGAATAAAATACGAATACGTATGTACATTATGTAAACAACTGTATACAGTATGAGTATGTACATTATACACGTACCGAAATGTCCTGCAAAAGCTGTGGCAAGAAATACAGCAATAGCGAATTGGACATTTAAATAACATTTTTACCTGGCAATTTTTTCAACGTCCATTATTACACCTAATCTAGGCTATAAGAATATACTAGAATATAGCTGCTATCGTCGTAAATTTGATGAAAAACTACCCGTATAATGTTTGGAATTTTCTTATCAACTAAAAATTATGGTAAATTTTATGAATATATGCACGTCATTGATAACGAATTTGCCAATAAAAAGCTACGGCGATATAATATCGTTTACAGGCCCGCGGTCACGTTTCTAATAATATATATATATATAAATAATATTATAATAGTACAATATGAGAAATATATTATGATTATTGCACTCGGCTGTTTGAACAAAAAAATATCGTCATATATAATGTGTCATCGAATTTGCTGTATAAAACATTTAAATATGACGTACGATAAGTGTTAATTTTTGACAAAATGGATTTTGTTTAATTTTTTTTTTTTTTTTTTTTAATAAACACTGATATTATTACTCGTACTGCACATACAAGTATCGTTATTTGTGCGCAATAATATCATACGCGTAAAATACCTATACGCCAGAAGCCGTTCTGACGAGTATATGTACACAGTTCTATGCAGGCAACGTTGGCTTTTTCACGTCATTTTTTAAGCGGAATTTTTCTTTGGATTCTTCGGCTTTCGCAATTTTCAAACGGAAAAACTCGAAAAACAAACGTTTAAAAGTCGTCAATGTTCGTACTATATTTGTTATAGGAACGTTTTTACACGACTTAGGGAATTTAATCGAAATCCATACACAAATGTTATTGTTCAACCATCGATGTACCGTCTTCGTCAATAATATACAGTCGTGTTTACTGCATTTTTGCGTAAAATCGGAAATAATAGAAATTAGAAGAAAAAATGTTAAATATTTTATAGTTTTTAATAGTTTTCACGGAACACCGATTGTATATTATCATCGATTATCAATCATTGTCATTCTCACAGTTTATGCGTGTCCGTTGTAAATTGCTATGAGAATATATTTTACAAATCTGAACAGTTTAACGAGCTGGTACCTAATTAAAAAAAAAAAAAATTTGAAATTTAAGTTACAAGTTGCTTTTTTTGATAACTTTCAACGCAGCTAATTCAACAAAATTTGTTAACCTAATCAGATTTGTATAGATAGCAATATCCCAATAGGTGCAATGTATAGATAGGTATTCTTAACTACTAAGTTATCGATTTTATTCCAAAATAAAACGTGTCTGAATTGATTTGAATATATATATATATTATATCATGTATGCAATACTCTTACAATTTCCGAATTAATATACAAGTACCTAATACTCATATTCATATTAGAAAATATACTTTTTGCTTGGTTTTTTTTTTTTCTTTATATACGTATAGCTTCTCTGTGAGCGATTGCAGAACGCCATTTTATCCCCCGATACGAGCTGAACGAGCTTCCTTCGAGAGTTTGTTTTCTCGTTAAAAATACACACGAAAAAAAAAACCGTTTACACAAGTGTGTACGGTATACAAAATGGAAAGTTCAAACCAAATCGATAAAAAAACAGAAAATGTGAAAAACTTATACGCGCGTCATCATGAAGATCAATTTCCTCGTATAAACATATTATTATTATTATTATATACTTCGTCGCGATCTTGGTCAACATTCGAAGTGTGTGTTCCACATTATAATAGTGACAAATTTATTTTTCCTCGACACTTGATATTTTCCGAGTTCACCATATATTATGTCATATGGTTTTATATTATAATATAGTTCTTTGTTTCGGCTCATCGTCTAGGTGTTGGTATTACTATCACTACACGACCACCGGTGAAGTGTGCAAACAAACGTGACCACCGTGACCTTGATTCGTAATAATATTATTGTTTATTATTGAAAACGGGAAGAGTAATAATAACGCGAGAATAATGGATTTTTTTTTTAACGTCTTCGTTCGATCTTTCGACAATACGGCGTCCATCGCCTTTCCCGTCGTATTTCGTCACATGCCGGTAATACACCTTAGGTTATTCACCATGATAGATTTGCCGAATAACTCTGCTTAGCGCATAAACTTCCAAACACAAAGTGATTGCAGTGTTTTTCACTGTGATAATAAAGTGGACGTATAGCACGCTTTGCATTGCCAAACAAAAGGACGGTTGTTGTCTAATTTACATCTCGAAGTGCAACCTCTAAAGGGTAACAGACACAGCGTTTTTGGTATTTGTGGATAGGTAATTGAATTTATTTTGTTCATTTATGGATTACCTTGATGCTACGGATGAAAACAAACACTTTTAATTGAGTCCTGATCAAAATCCCGACAAGATCAAAGTTCCGACAGATTCGAAGTCTCGACAATTAAATTTCTGACGATAGGCTTAAATCCACCAAAACAATGTCGCCAACATTTTTTCGAGGCCCCGTGTTTTCATATAAAATATTTTCAAAAGTGATCAGAATATAATGTGATCGAGTACCTACTCTAAAGTAGAAACTGAATTCAGTGATATCATCTCTCGGGATTTTAACTGTCAGAATTTTTAATTAGTCGGAATTTCAGTGCCGGGATTTTGTACGCCTCACGTTATTAGTATTATTTAATTTGGTCGATACTGACAAGGCAGAACTCTTTTTAAAAGATAAATTACCGAGCAACAACGATTAACTGTAAAAAGGATAGGGTAGAAACGTAAATTGAATTTCTTTTATTGATTTCTGTTTTTGAAAGGATTGAGCTCGGGAAATTACCAATTATAATATTGTATAACCTGTCAGTGGCGTATTTAAGTGCGGATATTAGGAACATAAATATCTCCCTTGACATTTTTTAATTCTCTTTCTACATTGGTAATAATACACCTATTATTTTTAAAACACAAACTTCTCTGATTTTAATCAGAAAAATCGAAAACATGTTGGTATCTATACGTCGTTAATATAATTATCGAAAAACATAAAACCAAACCAATCCGCTACCATAATATGCAGATTAGATTATTTCTTAAATAGCGGATACACTATTCACAATTACTAATACCTATTTAATCGATTTCGGTGGTGATTTTAGAGTACATTGAATTATAAATTTCTTATAAACTCCAAATTCAATGTATCTTTTCTTGACAAAATCTTGAATACGTCACTGTAAATATGTATATCTTTACAATAGGTATTATATACACACAGTTTAACTATTGATTTCAATAAAAAAAAATAATTATATATTTGAACGAGTGAACTAAATAAAACTATTTAAAAAAAAAATACAAAAGTTTCTAACAATAAAAATGTCACAAAATATGACAAAATATACATCAAATTCTAAAGTTTATCATTTTATAATATATTATTATTTTCTTCTGGCGATCATTGCCCTCCGAATTAACGTTTTGAAACCAATAAAATTAATATTTTCATACAAATTGTCCATAATATATTTCACCGGTCATATAGGAAAGGCCACGAATTAAAATATGCAGAATACCAAACGAACGTATGATAAGTGAAGCTCGAACCTTCTCACACTTCGCAAGGCCATTAACACCATCTAGTATACTCTTTACAAGCTACGTCAACATTAATATTATAGAAATATATATGCAGCAATTTATTACAAAACCCTACTCCTCCAGTCTAAACTTTAAACTGGTTTTAGTTGATTTTTATACCAATTTTGCCTTACAGCGCTAACAATGTTAACCGGGCGGATGCAGAACAACACTGATAAAACCTTTCCGTTCGGTGTCCTGTATATCTTAATTCGTGGGAAACACTAATTTATGTATTTATGTATATATATTATAAATCTGTAAAGAAAAGATTTTAATATGAACCGATTTTTTTTTTTTTTGCTGTCTGTTGATAAAATAAATTAATACAAACATACAATTCCTAATGACGTTCTCGAATGTTCCGTGATTTAATTTTCGTAAATTATGCTCGTATGCCTAATTATAATACGTTTATTGAAACGGTCCATTATGACAATTTAAACTGCATATGAGTAGGAATATAATTACCTAAAATCGAATTATTAATAACCTAATTAGATAATATAATCTAACTCAATCAAATAATAGTGTTGGTGCCGGCAGTTATTTTGAGTAATAACGGACGAAAAAAATGATAGGCGTATCGTAATTATTGTGTTAAACAACATTGCATTTTACAATAAAATTATAATAATTGTGTATTCGTTAATTATTATTATTTACGAGTTTTCCATACATTGTATAATATTCAATTAAATCCCGCATCTATATTAATTAGTGATACGAATGATAAATTAAAGAATGTTTTTCTCTCTCAGACAAACTAAACCTTACCTAATTATTATTATGTTCCCTATGTTTGGTTTTAACAATTACAATTATTTACATTTCGATACAATTTGTTTTTGAAAAACCTACTCAAAACGATAATATACGTCGGAATTGTTATTAAAAAAACGCCACACGCGCATTTACTATCTCAATCCAACTGACGCAAAATATCAAAATTTAAATAAGCGATTATTTCCAGGGGCTGTTCGTATAGCATATGTCTAAAAAAAAACAAAAAAAAAAAAAAACGACACAAAAAGCTATGACTATGTTAGTTTTTATTTTTAATAGCAGTATTTTTTGTGTATACGTAATACAATTTTTGTTTCGCCATCCAAATCCAATATAAACGTTTAATAAAATTAATAGAAACGTTAACAGACAAATAAAAACATAACACACTGTCGTTACGTCAAATTAAAAACAAAATTAGTTTTAACGCTGTTATTTCGTGGTGGATTTTGTTATAATTTCGGTCTGGTAACGAAAACCGTTTCGTTATTATTTCATGTGTGGAAATGACAGTCTAAAATAATGTCCGGTCACAAATCCGTAAAAACAAATATCGCATTATTCGTAAATCGTTTATAAATATCATAAAACTCGTCCTATCACAGATTGATTAAATCGAAATGCGTATATATTTTAGCAAGTATCTCGAAAATCAACGTACAATTATTATTCGTTTAGGGAAAAATATAGACAATAATGGTATTATTATTTTATCGTGCAAGACATCTGATACGATCGGTCGAGCGGAAAAAAATATTTTAATCACGTAACAATGATTTATTGACAAACGCACGTGTTAGCGCAGCTCTACGCGTGACAATCGTGTACGTAGTTCGATTGAGGAAACGATCGACACTTAATCGAGAAAATGTTTTGTTCTCTCGCGGAGGGAATAATAACAAAAACAAAATATAGTGATGAAAATAAAAATTTGGAATAGATATTCAACGCGTAAATAACGTATCGTGCTGTGGAGTACAATGGGAGACGCCATGGTGGCGATGGTATCGGTCGTATACCTGCAGGTAGGTACTTCGGATGAACGGACGGAACAAGGCTGACGGACCGGTATCTGTAATGCAAGTGGTGTTTACATGGTGGCTAGCTCGAATGGTAAACAAACAATAATCGTGGTATTTTATGGTTTTTACCGATATGACCGTACGCCGTAAAGGGATTCACAAATATTATCGGGCGTCGCCGTTTTTCCACCAAAATAAACATCTCACTTTACCGCCAAGACACGTTTCCACCACCAAAAGAGATGGTGCCGCCAATTTCGGCAAAAACTCCGCCGACGCACGAAACAATTTTCGAAATTCAGCATAGGTCATATTGACACGTATTTTAAACATTTATGTTTCACAACGATTTGAAACGATTCTGAACGGCGATCGGTTGGTAGTGTTGTTTTGTCAACAATATATGTGTCATATTTTGATGAAACAATAACGTATACATTGAATATTTTCTTTAGTAATCTTTGTATAATATTGTACCTGTTTTACCGTTCTCTCGGTTTTTACCGGTTTTTCCAATTCACTGGGAAAATCAAGAAATGACCTCCTTAAAGTACCACCCCAGTCAGATTTATTTTCAGAAAAAATACTATCGTTGTAAATCGAAGCAAAATTGTGGGTAAAAAGGCTGTCCACAGAAAAAAATTAATAAAAAATAAAATAAACACCGTTGTAAAACCATGAGCTTCTTCGCTTCACTCAGAATCAAAAAAACGTGCGCAATCAAATACCTATTTTAAATTTGTTCATTGCAGCAGTTAATAAGAAATAACATGAATCAAATTATTTGTAACAAGAACGAATAATAAATACACACCTAAATACGATAAACTTAATCGTAATAATAAACTTTCGGTGAAAACATGGCAGTATCAATAATCTTTGTCACCGAATTACAAATCATGCGAATGAAACCGACGTCGTATATTATATCGGACACTGTATAACCTGATGGATTGCTCATTTTCTCTATAGTTGTATGGAAATTGTTTACGTGAAAATTGGTCAATATCTCTTTCGGTGAAAAATGGAAATGGTTCATTTTGGTGGGAAAAGGACAAGAGATACGTTCGGTGGAAAAGGGAAAGGTTCAATTTGATGGAAACGGGTGCCGCCGATATTATCACCGGACTTGTGTGCCGGCGATAAGTTTTACAAACCGGAGAAAGTATTATAACGAAACATGCTCATTATACTCGTGTAGCTTGAGCTCCGTCATCGTATAAGGGATAAGATGAAATGTGTAAGTTTATCTATATAAGCAATATGTGCGTCATCATTATCGAGAACGCGGTTTCGAATAGAAAGCTCTATACTCTCGTGCATGATATAAGTATACCACAATAATCGGTTATTACAATAATCGTTCGGTTACAGTATCGGCCTGGCACACCAAAAGCCCCTGGAGCATATTTCGTTTTAATGGGCCCCGTAGATGAAAAACACAAAGACCGCGAAAATCAGCGCGATACTTGGTTCGGGAATCGGCATCAAAAGTCTATAACATGTTCAAAAATAACAACGGATTTCGCAGCGACGCGAGTAGGCGAATACCGGAGTAAACACCTAGGTACTATATGTTATAAGTGTATACTTATGACGTAGAAATATATTAACAAAAACAATGTTCAGTTTTCAGTATTTTGTACATATATTTACTCGTTCGCAACGATTTTTAATAACATAAATCACTATTATTCGACTTGATTATTTCAATTTTTTTACTGCGCTCTGCAACGAACAACTCAAGTCTAACCAATTTCTTTGTGCCTTTGTACAAAACACAGTCGGTAGTAAAATGTCGATAATTCATAAATCCTGGGACCCGGGGGCTCCTAAACACAAACGCGACTGGGGGCTCCGGCCGAGTTCACGGCCTAGTGACCGTGGCCAGGGTGAAAAGGGGAACAAATGTTAATGATAAAAACAAAAATTATAATGATTTTGATATCATAATAAAATAATGTACTCACTCATAATTTGTAATACCAACAGGATACCGAATCCCAAAATGATGGACAACAGGTGCGAGAATCCCGACTGCTTGTGCCTAGCGAGCACTTCGAAAAACACCACGTATAACAACGTGCCGGCTGCCAGTCCTTGCAGGATGACCGCGACCCGTCCCGGGGAACCGTCCCCGGAACCGCCGGAGCCGGCTTGCACGAGTAGCATGCCGATTATGATACCCACGGGCGTGACTATGGCGAACGTGGCCACGTACATGACGAGCACGGGTCTCCGGGTCTTGGACCAGGCGAGTTCCAGGCCTATGCAAAAGGCGATGACCAATTTGTGCGTGGCCACGGCGATAAACAGGTACCACATGTTGCCGATACGCTCCTCCAGCCCGATGGCCAGTCCCTCGAACACCTCGTGGAACGACAGTGCCAATACAGCGAACAGGCCGCGGAACGAGTGTTCTTCGTCCTCGGTGTCGGACTCTCCGGACTCCAGCTTCATCTGTTTTTCCTTGTCGTCGTTGAACCGTTGAAGCGACAGCTGTTTGCTGTGACCGTTCGGTCGGAATTCGTCCGATCCGACGGACCCAGTCGTGTCCCACGGCGCCGGCCGGTACCGACTTTCCGTCGACTCCTTCAGTAGCTCCTTGTTGCTAGCCGTGGACATTCCGCCGGTCACCGAAGGTATCGAACTCGGTGACCCTCCGTTCAGCGAAGCCCTCGGTATGGACATGGTCCGCCGTCTCAGACTCATCGACCGGTGCAGCACCTCTTCCGCGGAGTTCTTGTCTGTGTGGCTGGCCGCGCACCTGTCCAACACTGAATGTACGACCTCGTCGACGAGGAACACCATAAAGAATCCCAGGCAGAATATCAGGTCACCCAGGTGCTCGAGGCCCTGGCCGACAGGCAACTGGCCGGATTTTTGGAGCTCCAAAACGCCCTCGCGGACCTCGGGTTGCAGGTGCAGAAGCGTGGTGAACAGCAGTACGCCGCCGCCGAAGCACAGCAGCAGCGACACGAAGGGAGAACCGGCGGCCGTGTCGCCCCCGTGCCTGTGGCCGCCCGTGGACGCGGAACCGGCGGCCGCCGGTTTCCTGCGCCACCACTTGGTCAGTTTCAACGGTATGACGCCTAGCACAAAAGAGCCCAGTCCCAGCACGAGCATGGCGAACGTCTTGGCTACGGTCAACTGGTCCACGAGCGCCGGCGTGAGGTTTACGGCATCGTCGTTGGACAATATCACAGGGTCGGCCATTCTGTAACGTCGTCACTTTACATAAAAACGAAAATGTACGTGTACGGCGTCCGCGGTGTACGATATTTTGCCGTTGAACGAAAACAACCGTTTACGGTGCTTGACGACCGGGCTAGCCACGCGCGCGCGTAACAGTGGCCACCGCCGACCGTGCAAAAAAACGCGCACCGCAATTCCGTGGACGCAAGATCGCGAGTACCTGCAGCCGCGCGCAGCAGTACACTTCGAACTCGGACGCCGGTCACTGCGTGTGTGCCGTGCCGGTGTCGTGTCGGCGCGGATAGCTGTGGCGTCTACGACGCAGCGGCGGCGACGGTCAACCACCACCACCGCCGCAGCCACCGCCGCCGACGACGACGTCGTAACGGCCGCCGTACGTCGCCACCACCACTACTACTTCTACTTCTACCACACTCTACACTACAAACGTTATTACCGAGTAAACAGAATAATATTTCAGTTTTGCTCTTTGGGTCGCGGTTCCGTCTTGCTCCCGCGCCGTCAGCTGATAATCACTGCCTCCGACGCCCGCTCACGTTCTATCGCGTTTATTACCATCGCCTTTGGTGTTGTTTTCCTTATTTTTGTTGTTGTTGTTGTTGTTGTTTCGACGACGACTGGACAAGAATCGATAGTTCCGATCCTATAATCACAATGCACGGGCCCCAGATTAGATTTCATTTATTCTGCGGCACGACTGCGCGCGAACGCGTAACGACCGCAGCGAGAACCATAAAACAGCTCTGTAATGGATTCGACTATATTGGATGGTTACACCGACACAGACGCACGCCCGCTATCCAAAGGCGCCATTCCAGTTTCCTATAAGGAGGGGGGGGGGCGCTAACATTACACGAGGAGACCAATTCAATTCCCTCGCCTCGGCCAATTATTTACTAAACAAATTTCGATAAATAACTTATTAAAACATTTTTTTTTTCGATTTATTTTTATTACACGTGTCTAAATGACTCTCTATACATAAAAGTAAAACAGGAACGCATTCAAACTTTTTTGCAGTATAATGTCTCTATAATATATTAATGTTATACAGGCTGTCTCGTGAAAACAAACCACTTGAATATCTCCAGAAATAATAAAGATAATCGAATACTGTTTTTTTTTTTTTTTTTTTGTATTACTCACAGGGAAGAGGTCTACAAATATTTGTATTTTAATTAATTTTTTTTACTATTTAAAAAAAACTTTATTTAATTATTTTCGGAAAATTTTAAGATAGCCATTCTGTAAAGATTATTATTCTGAAAATTTTCTTAAAATTCTTAAAATTTTCTGATAATAATAAAGTAGTTATTCTATAAGTTTTTTTAATAAAAAAAAAAAATGAATTAAAATGTAAATATTTGTAGTCCTCTTTTCAGTGAGTAATATAAAAAAACAGAATTTGATTATCATTATTATCTCCGGAGATATTCAAGGAGTATATCTTCGTGGGACAGTCTGTATTTTAATTATAATGAAAACTTAATTGTCAGGCTCGAGTAAAACTGTGTAATGCAACTACAGTAAATATAATATACTGGCATACAGTTAATTTAAATTGTATATTATTAGATTTTAAGCGTAGCAAGAAATGCATTTGTTTTACTATGATGGGCACTATTTTTTTAAATTCTGATAAGATTTTATCAGAAATCTTACTCCAATCGAAAAATGGCAGAAACCTTTTTTATTGCATTTCAAATCTAGTTGATGCATTGATAAATAATAATATTGAACAAATCTGAAAAAAATCCGTAAATGAAAAATAGACAAATTTTTCGGCGTTAACTATTTCATTAATTTAATTTTTTTTTTCTATTAGGTATTTCTATCCGAAATCTTGCACTGAAATTCAAATATTAACATCTTTTCTGTAAAATATTTTTTCTTGTTGATGTTTAAAAAGTCTTTTTTTGATTTGTTATGCAGTTTTCTTAATAGCTAAGAAAGATCAGGGAAAACGTAAGAAAAACGAAAAAGCAATATTTTCAATTTTTTTTTTTTTTATGTACCTAGTTTGATTAAAAATAACTGTAGAAACCTAACATTTTCATAGAATACTTATCTAGAAATGGTAAAATTAAAAAACACACGGTTAAGCTATTTATAATCATTTGACATTTTTGGGTGTTTTTAGTTTTATTTAGTAGGTAATATGTGCATAAAGTAGTTTGACCAAGACCTGATTAACTAATAGACTAAGATGGTTGCAGCTTAACGCGCCATTACATGGAAATAGGGACACAACAAAATAATTTTTTTTTTAAATTGATTTAAAATTAATGAAAATCAACCTCTGCCTACTGGTGGCAAAATTAATCAGGCCCTATGTGGCTGTGACTATAGACATACGAATTTGGTGAACAGTTTAGAAGAGGGGAATCTACGTTCTAAGATGTAGGGGCTTATTTTTAATTAGCCTGTAGTCGCCTTTTAGATAAATCCGGTCCTGTGCTTGACCAAACAGAGATGCTTGAAAATTTAACAGGAGGCCCATTGTTATACAATTGTTCTTAGGGGTAAATAAAAAAAGTCGAGTGTTTTGTAGTAGTTATTTTTAATAAACATTTTAACAAGGTCAAATATTGACGAAAATCGTAAAAATTACGGCGTTTCAAAACATAACCGAACTTTGCACAAAATCGTTTTTCATTAGCAATGGTTTATCGTTTCATATAGACATAAATTAAGTAACTTAACTTAATGTGTCCTATCGTCTTCCCGACTTTCCACTTACATTAATGATACGCTCATTAGCAGTAGTAGCTTTTTCTAAACTACACTTACAAACATATTCAAATAATTTATCAATCAAATTCAATTTAAAAAACTATTAAAAACACTTGAATTATTATTAGACTAATTGTGTTCACAAATTGTAAGGATGAATAAGTCCATACCCTGCCTCACCCCCAAATGGTACTCTTGCCCTTATCTAAGGCTAGGGTCTTCAACCGATGGCCCGCCTTGTTGTTGTTTAAAGCCCGTGGATACATTTTTAGCATAACATTGTACTATTGTATTATATTATAACCTTTTAGATTCTGAGCGTAGCGAGACTTAGAGACTTTTTTTTTAATAAGCGTTTTGAAATAAAGTTTAAACGAAAATCGCAAAAAAAAAAAAAAAAATTACGGCACTTCGTGTATTATCAAACTGCGCTCAAAATCGTCAAGCAATGATTTATCGTTGCTTACAGATATAAATGAAATAACCTTATGTATCCTACCTTTCCAACTTCTCACCTACAATAATGGCCGCTCCCATCCCCAGTATCAGCTCTCTTTTTTATTATTATTATTTTATTATTTACAAGATAACTCATAATCGGCCCTTAACTCATATCACATGTAGTTTACGTAGTAATGTTGTACATTTTTTTCCCCAGTATCAGCTCTTTTTTTTTATATTTAAACGAATAATGATAACAATAATAGTTTATTACAAGAAAATAATAATAATTTTACGAACAATATTATACCTCTGCCAACCAAATCAACAACCGTAACTATGCACTTGTAATTACGTCACAGACACAGCGGGAATATAATGTTAGCGACTTAAAATTAAATTTGTGTATGAAATACGTGTTTTATTACGTATTCGGCCCACGAAACTACTGTGGAAACAACAAGTGGCCCGCTGCCCAAAAAGGCTGAAGACCTTCCAGATTTAAGGAGTCGCGTATAGGCAATTTGAATGACGTCTATGAAAAAATACAAATTAATCAACTGAAAACGTTAAAATTCACTTTTGGATAAATTTACAAATATATAATATACGATCCCATGGCATATCACAATAGTGTTTTATCGTGTGAAATCGTGTAACAAACTGAATCGTTTTACCGCAATATGTTGATAGAAGTGATAATTATCTGTGTTTTCCCATATATTATAATCGATTCTGATGATTATGTAACATTGTAACATAATACCATAATAAATATTTTGTACATTTTTTTTAAAATCCACAAGTAATCCCAACATTCAATAAATTTAATATTACGTTAAAACTTTCGCAGAGGATTCACGGAAATACTAATTGAAATTATGTTTTACAATTAATGTTAATATAACCCGAGATGGTTTTAATATTATATTGCAAAGGTTGTTTTGAACATCAAAATATAATCGTGATACTCTTTTCGTTTATTCGTTTACTATTTTTATGCCACAATCGGCAAAACAAACGTGCACTATTTGTATCGTCGATGTGTGACGATTCGTAAAATTGACAAACTTAAAACCCGAGCTGTAACCCCGTACTCCGGTCCACGAGATAAAGGAGACCAAAATATTTCGTATTCTTTTCTTTTTCAATGTTGTTTCGATTCTGAGTGAAGTAAAGCAGCTATTATAAGTTTTATAAAGATGTGATTTTTTTTTTCTCGGAAACACTTGTTCGATTAGTAAACATATGCTCAAATTTGTTCACCTTAAAATATGCGAACTTTTTTATGGTTTATCGAAATTTAGAAATATTAATCCCTTTGGTCATTTTTTTCGTTTTGTTTTATAAAATTACATTAAGTACCTCGGATCGATATATAAAACCCTTAGTAAAACTGAATGAAAAAAATATATAAAATTGTTTTGGTTTAAAATGTACTCGCCGAGATTATAATCTAGTCTCCCTCAGATTATGACCGAAAACCTGCCCTGTCCGGTAATATCGCGTCACCGTGAATTTCGCTCTATACACGCGTACCTCTCGAAAACGCGAAAACGGTTCGTGTAAAAAAAAAAACCGACCCGCACTCGACAAACTTGCTTTCACTGCCCGTCATCGCTAGAAAAAACAAAAATATCTACCTCGGAGGCATTACTGCGATACTATACGGTATACGACAAAACGAAAACGTCTGTAAACGAGCGTTCTTTACGAGTCCACTGCTCCCGCCAATATTATTGCCGGATGCCATTCCTGAATATGCGTCACAGCACGAGAAGTGCATCGCCACCGATATGCATACAAGGAGTCTGATTTCAACATCTAGGAAGTATTTTCCGATTTTGATTGACCCGTATCAATCGTGCTCGCGCATAAGTGCCATATTGTAATCCATTGTTTTCAATCGATTTTTTTTTTCTCGTAATTTCCCCCCTGTGATCTGTGATCTAATGCGGTTTTGCATAACAAATCGAGTGTTATTTTCGCCTATGGCACGATAAAGTTAGTCTGATGTACATGCACAAGCGCTATATAGTAACAAATCCAAATAAATAAAACACGGCCCCAGAGGAAGACCGTGACAAGATGGCTGGATCGAGTAAAAAGAGATTTAAATCGGATAGATGAAACAACAAGAACGGGAGATGCAGACAATAGAGACCTCTTGAAAAGTTTGGTTTGAGCAGGAAAAGAAGAAACCTGCGTAATCTGAAACAACTAAAAAAAAAATATACAAACTATAAACTATTATGCGTAACAAATAAAAGATTATCGCCTGATATTATAACACAGAGATAGATGAACTGGCTAGAGAATAGAAGAGATAGAATTTTTACACCAGTGTAGAATGCGGTTTAGAACAATAATGACAAAAATTACGGACTGATTGTGTCATAGAATAATACATAATGTTATTATAATAGCGTAACGTTTTGAACATATTACGTATTATGCATACTGCAATGTATTGCATATTATTTTATATACGTTCGGCTAAATTTTTTGTAATTTACCGATAATAATATTATGATAACTCGATAATCGTGTAATTGTAAAAATGAGATATTATTAATCGAACGTTTCACGGTCTTCATTATTACTGTTTTATTTTGAACCCTGTAAACATGTAATTAAAACGATTGCTATACTATAATGAGACAGAAACGTATTATTAATTGCATTGGCGATGTGTACGACCGCGACACACACCTTAAATACGGTACGATAATAATATTATTATAGTTTTTAATTGAACACTAATGTTACCAATTTCATGTAAGATTTAAAAAACCAAGTTAAAAAACTTAACCGGTTTATGTAAAAATCGTAATGTACGTGTATGAGAGTTAAAACTTCGAAAGCAAATTAAATTTAAAGTTTTGACACGTCTGGCTTTAGAATATTATAAAATGTTGAAAATAATAAATAAACTTAAAGTACTTGTTTATCAACAACGTGGCATACTTTTTACGCACAGGACAATGTTATTTGCGGGAACTTAAGAAGTTATGTTATAGCGGTTAATTTATAATTACACACTAAAAACAACAATAAATCATTACAATAAAAAACGATTCTGAGTAAAACTCGGTAAACTGGTTGAGGTTAAAGTATTAGCTATGTTTATCCTTTGTAGTCAAAGTAACCCACAGAAATCAATACAAAACAAAGCCGACGTATTTTATCGATATCATAGTTATTAGTTTTTTTTTTTTTTTTTTGGAAACGCTATTGAGAACCTATGTATATTTCTCAAATAAATACTTTTGGGCCAAAAATCCACGCCTTTTAAAGTGCGATAACAACAATATAATGTTTTTTTTTTACTAACCATATATTTATTGAAGGAAAAAAATCAAAACGGAACGCTAGGGGGTGAACTGGGGAAAACTGTTTCAAGTAAAGTGCCACTGAGTGGTTATTCCACATCGTTTAATCGTTTACATAATGTACGACGTGAACAAATTGGAGCATTTATACTATAACCGAAAAAGGTTAAGTTACTGTGAAGAAAATGCACATTTAAGTATTATTATAACAACTTCTTCACTACAATATCAGAATTTAAAAAGACGTCCTAGGATAATGGGGATAGGATCAGCCACTGTTGTAGGTAATTTTATATATACCTGTAAACAATGAAAAAATATTGCTTACGAAAAAACGATTCTGAACGAAATTCAGTTGATAGTAATGCTTTGTCAATATTATATATGCCATATTATAGTAAAATAATTAAACGGGCTCTATATATTTTCTTTAATAATATTTGTTTAATATTGTACCGATTTCTTCGGTTTCCCTACGTTTTTCCTGGTTTTCCCATTTTTTCTCCCAGTTTTTCACATTTGCCGAGAAAACTCCGGAGAAAATCGAAAAACAACTTCTTTAAAGTACCTCCTCGGTGAAATTTCCTTTTAGAAAAATTCCTATCATTTAAAGTTGAAGCAGTATTGTTGGTAGTAAAGTTATCCAAAGGAAAAAAAAATTGTAATACTACACAAACATATTTCGTGCACTTTCGCTCAACTCAGAATCTAAACGTAATGTGAAAATGAAAATAAAAAAATTACTTTCTTGATCATTAACTAGATTTAAAATGCAACAAAAAAGTTTTCTTGTCGTTTTTCTATTGGAGCAATATTTAGGGTAGAAAACTTAGGCCGTACAAATTTATGAAATCATTGCTCCGTAATTTGAAAAAATTTGATTTTTTGATTTTTCTCAATTAATATGAAAAATGAAATTCTCTGTCAGTTTCAAGCAACTTTGCTCCAATCTAGAATGATAGTACTTTTTCTGAAAGGAAATCTGACTGGGGTGGAACTTCAAGGGGGTAATTTTTTTTTATTTCCCAGCTGTTTTCATAATAAACGGGAAAAACCGGGAAAATCGTAGGAAAACGGGAAAATAGGCACAATATTAAACAAATATTATTAAAGAAAATATATAATGCATATGTGATGTGTAATTATTTCACCATAATATGGTATATTTATTGTACAAAGCAACACTATTAACCGAACTCACGTTCGCATTGGACAAGGAAGATTCTACGAACTAATTTCACAAATGGACATTTAGTAGAGAGAGTCCGGAATCTGAATGTAAAGCAAGTGTGCAATAAATAAAACACTTAATTCCGGACTGATATCTTAAGAAATACAACGATGATTTGGAGGACTTCGCCAAAGTAATCCCTGAGGCCTAGCTGAGTTCCTCGGGTGTTATAATATTTAATTTAATATTGTGATACTTAATATTACATTTTTTAATCCTTAAATGATTATTCATATCAACTTTAATAATATTAATTTAATCTGTTACATAGAAACTAGTAAGGAAATTTAATTTAGTGTTACCGTTCATTATTATGTCATACATTCGTATGAATATATATATATATATAACCTATTTATATTCCCGTTTTTTTAACCCTCACCCTCCTTTACTTAAACGGCCCACGCGTCTATAGTAGGTACCTACCTAACATACTATTAATTATATACGACACAGCCGGTGTTTTTTAAATACGGATTACAATAATTTATTAATGCAATGTTTTTACCTTATGACGGGTCTTGGAAAATGAGTTCATATGACCACATTAAGCAACTGGTCACTTATGCCGGACCACTTTTTACATTTGTTTAAAAAATAAAAATAAATACCATAAATACCTATTAAAATTATAACTAATTACGCCAAATTCATCAAATTTAAATCTTGTTACAACATTGTTTTAATACAAATTTACATCAATAATTTAGACCAATTCGTTAATAAATTATAAAACGTGAAACATGGTTCAGTATAAGTGAGAGTCCCCTATGAAATGATTGTTTATGAGTACACGCGCCAAATCTTTCTTTTAGACAATTTTCTTAAATATTGTCGACATTTTAGATTCCGAATGAAGTGAGGAATGTATTGTTTTTACAATGATATTTATTTTTTCTGTGAACAACTCTTATATCAGAAATTTTGATCAGATTCATAATAACAGGACTTTTTTTTAAAGAAAATTTGACTAGGGAGGTACTTTAGGGCAGTCATTTTTTAATTTTTCCTCGTAAATTGTAAATAACAAGCAACTCTCGAGTAACTTTGAAATGATATGTAAGCGTTATTTTTGTGACACCCTCATTTTCATGGGTGAAACCACTACATGCTTTTGATTTTTAAATAGCAACCTATATTAACAATGCCATATCTGGATGAAGTATTTGTTTAAATCATGTTAACTCGCAATTCACCACTTTTAATATTCATTAAATTATAATAATTCATAGAGATACAGCAATTTATGGAAACATATTTATAGTTTTCAACAGCAAATTAAATTTCTTGTCATAATTTGTTTATAATAAAAACATGCTCAATACGTTGTATAGATATTATAATTAAATATTACACAATATATTAAATGTAATAATAATATTTTTTATATTCGTTGATTGACTAATTTTAAATCTAATCGTAAAATACACGGAATTCCGAAACATTTTTAACCGAACTTTGTTCAGAATCGTTTTACGTTAGCAATGATTTATCATTGCGTACAAATATAAATCAAATTAGCTTTATGTATCTTTGTATTTTCTAACCTAGACTTTTTTCAACGGATTTTTAACAAATAATACCAAAGACTACAGTTACTCAAACATTTGAGTACGATTGCGTACATACCTAAACCATTTTACTATGATTGTGTTATTGTATAATTGTACACCTACACCCAAATATCTAACCACTATTATAATATATACACACACACCGTCAACAATATACATAATTCTGGGAGATTTCTCCCACTTGACATCCACATTCTGCATCACTCGCGTATTTAATCATTATGTCATTTTGCAATTACTGTGGTCGTGCATATAATAGTGTTTCGGTTTGTAAGGCCTAAACAAAAAGCGATATACTGTCCGAACACTGTTGCCCAATACATATTATAATATTATGTGGCCCATATCGTTTGTTCGAGTTTGCCAC